TCAATTACAACGAATAATTATTGTGACACCTGATTCATCAGTAATGATGGTGTTGAACCCAGTTATTAAGGTTAGCAATAGATTTTTTTTTGATTTTATAGTCTGAAGTATTTAAATATTTATCAAACTATTCATTTATTAGAATCGTATAAAAGATGACGCTATAATATCTCCAATGTTCAATTTGCACAATGACGATCATATGTTTAGAGGGATCTCGTTACCGAGAAACAGTATGGTTGTACTGCGTTTGCCGTATCCTTTACCAAAAATGTGGGTTACAAAAAGTGTTGAATTATATCCTATTAATACATAACACTTTTTGTAATGTGCATACATAATTATATTGATTACAATTTTGTTTTAATTAATTTTCCTTAATAATATCAACCAACTTATGATCAGTTATATTCATTATGATCAATCTGGAAAACCTATCCTACAACAGAGAATTATAAATCACGTCTCAACGTTATATCTGGCAAAAAAATTCCTTTTTATTGAAGTTCCAATATCTGAAATGTCTGTCAAAGGTGAAGAGGCTGTTACCATGACATAGTAATGCAGATGATTGTACTATGATAAAATTGCTTAGTGATTCGCCAATTTTCAATATCGATATTATTGAATTATGTTTGATATGCGTAAAAAATTTCTTCTCCAATGTTGGCACGTGAAATGCATCATTACATTTGGATATATATTATGCAATTTTATATTTAAGATGGGGCTGAAAGTATCTAACTTTAGGTTTTATTTGCTTTTGTTTGAATAACAGACTCCCTGTATTACTTGCAGATACATAAACACGTGACTATACAGTAGCTAATTAATTACATACATACGTACGTACTTATATCTGATATATACCTGATACGTACGTACGTACCTATATTGTCTGAAATTTGTCCAATAAGAGGATTAAAAAAAAAAAATTTGAATTACGCTTTACATTTAAATTTCATTGTGTACTGGGAGGTTAGTCAAAATTCGTGTCACGCGAGATTCTGTTGAACAATGTGTAATTTTGTGGAAATCCTACCTATTGTCTTACTGTTAAAATATGTAAAAAGGATCACGTTGATGTAAAATGATCACGAATTCGCAATCCGCCATTTGTTGGGGCTTGGTGATAAAAAATATATATATATAATAGAAGTTATATACGGTAATATATGTATAATTTGAAATACTTTTAAAATGTCATTCAGTCATCATTAGTCACTATTGTATACTTTAGTATACTTTAGTTCAAATGATCTACCAAAAAAAAAAGTTTGTGATTGTTGGAAAACGCATATGGGGTCTATCCCCGTTTTTCCTTGATATTAAAAGACCTGATTTCCCACCGTCGTTTTTTTTAAAAAAAACTTTCTCTTGTTCTAAAATCGTTCTATCTAAGTTATGTCCGTTAAATTGTTCGTTGGAGGTTTGGCGTGGGGAACCGATGACCGTTCTCTTAGGTCTAGGTTTGAAGAATATGGCAACGTTGAAGATGCCGTTGTGATTCGTGATCGTGACACCGGTAAGTTGTGTGTTGACCAAAGGTTAAACGTTGAAGTCACAATTCGCATTCGAAAAAATGCCTCCGTTCTCGTTTTGTATCTTCTCTTTTGTGAGCAACCTTGTTACCTTTGCGAGACTTCCAAAACATATTGTTGGAACAATCTCACTGCGGATATAAGGATGCTAACCTTAATAACTGGGTTCAACACCATCATTACTGATGAATCAGGTGTCACAATAATTATTCGTTGTAATTGA